AATGTCAATTCACTTCCTCCTCTCCTGAAGCCTGTACTGTATTGTATCAAATCTGACAGCGCCTGCGTCCAGGAAGGGCCAACGAAGTCTCGACGAAATGAACAACAAGCCTATGAAGAAAGCAGTCTTCTGGGATTTGGCACCGTGTATATGTGGTGTTGACCGACGTTTCGGAGAAACGTATCGCCTCCATCTTCAGGGTAGAAAGAAAAATGTAAGAAATCCGCAGGCGAAGAGACCGTGAGAACCGGTACAAGCAGTCTGCTTTCTTCATAGTCACAGCCGTGAAAACCTCAAATCTTACAACAAGCCTATGATTCGGTTGACGGAAGTAGTAGATGATCCGACCGCTTCTCTTGCTAGTGTATCACTGAACTACGAAAGTAACATTTTTATTTCATTTTTCAAAGTATGAGCCAGGCTAACAAAGTTAACATGAACAGTTCGCCACCGATTCAGACTGGATAACTGGGATCTTTTAAGGACACAGGTAGCAATTGACATGTATATTTCCTACTATGTGCAGGCCCGTTGTAGGGCTCAACCGAACCGAACTGGTGGCTCTGCCTTTAGACTATTATTTATTTACTTGTGTTCCTTTTAATAACGCTATCAGCATCGCAGACTGTGCAGATTGGAATTGTAGAAAGACTGAAGAGTAAAGAATTGAAAGGGATGTGGGAAGAAACGATTATGGCCTAATTTGAGGCATTTTTCCTCTAAGGACTGAGAAAAAAACAAGAAACTTCAGTCAGTAATCGGTGATTTAGCCGAGATTCGAATCGAGCACCTCCTGAATATGAGTTGAAAGACATACATCTTCAACGACCTTGTTCAGTTTCCTAGGAATGAAACATGCGGAACGCGAGTCTTTGCCTCAACTTGTCCCATTCGCAGGCTCAACTTTACACCTAGAGACAGGAAACCAATCACATCTACCTTTTACCTTGTGTACCTATATTCTGCAACTAAACATAAAGCTGAAGATATTGACACTCCCGCGTTTTGGTTGGAGAAACCAGTCTCCTGCTGAGGGGCCGTCTGGATTTCTCAATATTTACAGTACATGAAAATAGGCTGTAATTTATTCTGAACATTCCTCCACATTAACCACTCACAACTGACCTCACCATGTTTGTCTATTTAAAGATCCTTGGGCTGATATTTAATAAGATTTAGGCCCATTGAAGACAACCACGAGAAACCTCAGGCAGTGTCGGATACGCCCAGAATACAAACAGAAGCGCTCACAATTCGATCACTCGTTAGTTATTTAATTCAGATATTTCTTGAGGGATATTTGGTTTTACAGCTGAAACACGCCCGGATTAACACAGCGGTGAATATTAAAATTACAATATTATGGGATATGAGGGTGTGTATTTTGGTAGATAACAGCTTTTCGGAGAAACCTGTTGCCTTCATCTTGAATGTAGCTTACCCTCTCTTTTCACAAGGAAGATTTCTGCTCACAAAATTAATTTATTGTAACACTGTGTTGAGATGGTAGGACACACAGTAATTGGATTCTGCGACAGAAAAGTGAAACTAATTTGCGAGACATCTTTCTTCATTCCCTGCCTGCTAACCTGATCTTGGGGGTATTATATGCATGCAGAGACATCTAGATTCTACTTAAATATCCCTCAAAGTTTTACTCAGAATATGAAGCATGTAGTGAATTTAGAAAATATAACAAAGAAGGAAATTTTCTTTATGAATTCCAAATGTCGTTGCAATATTAGACAGGCTTAATTGAGTGGGATTGATTGCAGAAATGGATTCCAGTCGGAAATATCGAAAGAAAAATAAATGCAATATGGAAGAGTGAGGAAATATAAATTTGATTACGTCTGTATCTTTTCATTTAAATACTCAAAATACAAGGAAATATTTTTCATTAAAGTGTGAGCAGTGGTTTGGTCAAATAAATTGAATTCTAGCGGTGAACAGTAATTGCACCTTTGGTTTAGGCCTCACTCCGATTGAGGTCACATGCTCGATCCACTCCCAGGGTTATGATACTCGTATTTTAAAACAGGTTTACGCATTGTCTAGGGACACTAGAAAACATGGGATACCCTTATCCATATCTGCTGAATCATACGGCACTACGGCACATCGGTAAAACATTCATAACCTTAGCAATAAACCCGAGACAACGCGTCAGAGCAAATGCTTACTACTACCACTGCCTTCTGGGCTGCTTGCACGTTAGTAAACGAGAATTTATTTGAATTGAATTGAATTGAATTGAATTGAATTGAATAACTGGAATAACCATAGAGGCACGCGGTAGTGTAGCTGGTTGAGGCACTATGCTACAAGCCGAAAGGTCGCGGGTTCGATTTCCGATGAGGTCATTTTATTTTTCCATTGACCTTATCATTCCAACCCCACTATGGCCCTGGGGTCGACTCAACCTCTAAGAGAAATGGGTTCGAGNTACTATTATAGGAGATGGGATAGCACAGTCGGTATAGCGACTGGCTAGGGGCTAGATGATCAAGGGGTAGAGTCCTAGTAGGATCAAGAATTTTCCCTTCTTCAATCGTCCAGACCGGCTCTGAAGCCCATCCAACCTCCTACACAATGGGTACCGGGGGCACTTTCCCGGGGGTAAGATGGCTGGGCCGTGAAACTGACACTCACATCCAACTGATGCCGAGATCAAGAAAAATGTGGATCTATACATCCACTCTCCCACATGTCTTCATGGCGTAGTGCTTAATTAGTTAAGCACAGGGACAAAGTTATCTTTATTATTGTCCTCTGAGCTCTTAATTTTGCACGTAAATAAATAAGAACTGAACTGAACTGAACTAAACTGAACAGAACAACTGAAATGATTATACCATGACAGATGCTAATGAACTGGAAACTGCTATGTGTATCAGTCCATCACAACACAGAGTATAAATGAGCAACTGAGAACACGAGAAGTATCGATGAAATCCATATTTATTCACTAAGCTCACTCGCTACGTGTTTCCGCCATATATGGTCGTTGTCAAGCGTTAAAATATTAAAAATATTGTCAACATACATCATTGGACTGCTTACAATGGATCCATTGTTACTAGTCCCGTCTAATACAAACCGTTCCTCAAGATATGCTGTAGTAAATTATATTAAATTGAATATTAATATATATAAGTCTATATTTACTATTATTATAGTATGCATTAACATTGAAAGTTAAAACTTAACCGCGGTACTTCTACGTTCGTGTTTTCATGAGCCGAGTGCATCTGAGTCCTACTACGTGTATGTGTCTAAAAGAATATGTAACAAGCCAGGGGGTCCAGTCCGTAGAAACTGGAGAAGAAACACTTTTAATGAGATGTTTATAGATAATTATAAAAGCTACCTTGGTAGAAAATTAAATAATGTTATTTTAATTACTGCATGAAGAAATTATCAAGTTCACAATGTTTTCATAAAACAAGAACGTCATTAACAGGATTTTCTTTTCTTTTGGCGCTACAGCCCCAATTTGGGCCTTGGCCTGCCTCCATGAAACTCTCCGTTTCACTTCGGTTTACTAGATCTTAGGCATTCGGTAGGACTCTTTGGGCGAGTGATCAGCTCGTTGCAAGGTCTCTACATGTACACAAACACAGAAAACACATACACAGAAAACACAATTTTTTAAGATGGTAAAACTGGCAGACTATTTGCTCTGGTTTCTGATTTAAAATTAAGACTTGAAAATAAATATATGATAAGCATACGGGAATGTGGTTTCAGACAAATGGTATTTAAGGTTCAATCCTTGTATGCAACTTAGCACAGAAAATGGGACCACTAACATGTACGAGTATAACCCTGAAAAATAGATCATATAAGTTGGTCGGGAATCGAACCTGGTTCCTAGACCGCCCAGCCCTTAGCCTAGTCGCATCACCGACACTGCCATTACTGCTCCAGAATTCTTATTAGTAACAAATATTTGGAAGATTTTTTTTATTGCTAGTGGGGTGAGACTAAGTCCCTTGTACTGCGGCCACTTCTGGCCTATTGTACCAGCCCCAGATGATAGGTGAGGGTGATTGGCAGGGGAAACCGAAGAACTTGGAGAAAACCTGCCCCAGCGTCACTTTGTCCACCACAAATCCCACTTGACCAGACCCGGGATCGAACCCGGGCTGCCACGTTGGGAAGTTAGCGACTAACCGCCTGAGCTATGGCGCGGCCTATTTGGAAGAAATTAATCCTCTTAATGGCTGGTCACGGTAGCCGAGCGGTCTAAGGGATGCACTCTCTTCGCTCGCTCTGAAGCCAGGATCGTGATTTGGAATCCCACTCAGGGCATGACTGTTCAGTGTTTGTGTGTGTGTTTTTCTCTGTTTGTGTACAGGTCGAGGCCTTGTGATGAGCTGATCACCCGCCCAAGAAGTCCTACCGAATGTCTAAGTCTTAGACTCTAAGATCTAGTAAACCGAAGTGAAACGGAAAGCTTCATGGAGGCCAAGGCCCAAACTGGGGCTGTAGGGTCAAAAGAAAAAAATCATCATATTAAAAATTCAGTTTATATCACGAAAACACACTGCATGTCCATTACAAAGGCCAGCCAGATATTCTGTTTAGAGCAAAACAGCTGTTCATTCTGGGAATCATATGACTTAGATAAAAACGTTCTTTTGACAGAGCGTACGGTTTTTCAGTGTTACAGAAAGTGGCATGTATGATAATCATTGAGTTATGAAAGATTAAATATAATTAGATGCCAATCACAGTGGCCGCCTAGTCTGAGGTATGAACTGTCTTCGTTCGCTCCAACCCTGGGATCGTGGGTTCGAATCCCGCTAAAGGCATGGATGTCTGTATGGTGTTCTTTTATTCTGTGGGCTGATCCCCAGTCCAAGGATTCCTACCGACATTATAGAGGAGCAAGAAGCTGAAAAAGCGTCCGGGGCCCAACAAATGGCCGTAGAGCTATAATATTAAAATATAATTAGAAAACAACATATAAATTGTTATTTATTGTATGCAGACGACTATCCTATGAATATATTGATTTGCTTTCTTTGTGGATATTCTTCTGGTGGTTCCATAGTCAGTCTAGGAGATACATATAGCACCCCGAACCTCTCCAATGAGAACTTTCTGTCAGCGGAGCGCCAGCCAATGAAACCTGCACAGAAATCGGCCAATAGGAATAAGGCTTAGGTAACGTTAAAATATTATTGCATATGGTAAACAAGAAATTCTTGGGAACAATAATCGCATACTTTCCTTAGATAAGACACGGACCGCATAGAAAAGACGCCTTCAACAATTATTGTACTGTTTGGTGTGTATTCGTGGTCGCGGTAACGTTATTACCGAGGCGTTGCGTAACAATATATAGAACAAGTTTCATAAAAACTAGTTGGGGGATTGGAAGGGAGAGACACAGACACGCGGACAGGAAGAATATCGCATAAGCCTACTTTAGGAAACTAGGCTAAAAATTAAAACAAATTTGTCCTTGTGCTTAATTAAGTAATTAATCACCACGTTACTAAGACGTATTGGACAGTGAAGTTATAACTTCAGGAATTCTTGAGCTTGATAGTCGATGTGAGTTAGTGAACAGCTTCACGCCCCTGCCGCTTTACCCCTGAGAATACAGCCCCGATACCCGTTTGTGTGGGCCCCAGAACAGGTCTGGACATTATGGGGAAGAAAAAAATATTTTCCTCTGCCGGGGATCAAACCCCGCCTGTCCAGACTATCGCTATACCGACTGAGCTATCCCGGCTCTTAAGAAGCGCATACGATCTTAGTGACGTTTTCTCAATTGCTTTGGTTAACGGCATCAACAATGACTTTTCAAAGTACCGAAAGGAGGACATGATTCGTGTAATTGCACCGCTTTCGAGCGCTTTGTGAAGACATGAACCGTGCTTCTGTGTGAAACTAGGGGCTCCTCTCTGCGTGATAACTGCCAAGTCAGTAGCATCATAATAAACACGAAAAGCTCAAAGCTCTTCTTCCAGACCGGCTCTGAGGTCTACCTAGCCACCTTCTCAGTGGGTAGCGGGCTCTCTTTCGCTCTGGGTAAAGCGACGGAGGCATGAAGCGAAGCTGACCGCTCACCTCCATCTAGTGTCGAGGTTAAGAATGGTGGAGTTTCACTTACATTTCTTACATGTCTTAATGAATTGGTCCTCAATTAATTAAGCCAACGGATACATTTACGTTACCTTACCTGTCTGGGCTGAGGCTTTGCTATGAGCCATCCCCAGGCCACACAGCCCTACCGAATGTGTAGAAGGTCGAGAATTTCATAAATTAATTCTGTATTGAAACAGACAAGAGGGCTTAATCTACAGAGATGAAGAATAGAAAAAAGAACAGACCTATGAGAATAGTACGAAAGGAAATTGAGTCATCAGTTTGAAACCAGCCAAGTGCCTTGCCACATGATGAACCCCAAAACTGAAGACCGGGGCTGTATGTCAAGTCAACTAAAGATTCTGAATCTTGTTAATGTTAATATTGTGACATTTAGACCCGTTACTGGGCAACGACTCGGTAAACACATTACCGCGACAAAGAATAAGCAGGTTACAGACGAATAATTTCCGTTACTGTGCAACACGCTGTAAAACAACGGTAGAGGAAGAGGTCTTTTCTATGTTGTTCACATATATCCATTGCTGGGCAACGGATGTTTTCTATGAGTCCGCCTTGAGACTATATAAGTAGTCCAGCCGTAATTCAGAAGTCAGCCGTAGAATGAGAACGAGAATTGAGCGAATCCTCGGCAGTCAAGGAAGAAAGGTCCGGCTGAAGATTGATTGCGAGTTATTGTAATTGACTGTGATTACTAGTGATTGTACAGGAATGTGTTAATAAATCCAATCATCCAATCCAGCACCCGTTGTTATTGGTCACGGAGCCATAAACACGTGACAGTAGTAATTCATTGTCTCGTTATGGCCATCTCACAACTCAGGGACTAGTGGTGAATAAATAGAGAGCTAGAGTAGAACAGTGACTATCGGAGGAAAGTCGGCAGAAACTCGTAGAAGACCTCGTCTAGTGTTTCTCCTTTTACTACGAATATTACACGAAGTCATCCGGGATTTAACTCCAGTTTCAGCTTTGAGAAACCAACGCGTAATCGCCTGAGTATGGCAAATGCTTTTGACATACAAAATGTGCTTTCGTCCTGATGATTCTTCGAAATACTGGTCTCTCTCTACAATTTTTTTTTTATTTATCATTTATTAGCAATCTGAATTTGCATTCTATGAGCTAATTTGCTGTCATGTACAATAATTATTCTATTGTACTAAGTTGGCTTGAAGAGCTGTAATCCATCGATTACGCCTCAGTTTTCCTGGAGGTCGTTACAAAATATAAGGCACCATAACCCTGAAGACCATAATCATAAAAATGTGCTTTACATTTCGGCCTCTGGATTTCATACAGGGAAACTCTCTTCACTTATTTGATGCTCATTGCAAATACGTACTTTGTATTTTTATGGAGAATTTTCAGCCAATGAATTGTACATTACATTAGTCCTCTAAATCAGTGATTCTCAACCTTTGTGAGACCGCGGCCCGGTAAATCCTTTTTTCTACAAGACTAGGGTCCGGTACTGGACCGAAGCCCGGCGGTTGAGAAACACTGCTCTAAAACGTATAGCACGAATGAGGGAGAAGAAAAATGGATGTAGGATTTTGGTGGGAAACCAGAAGGAAACAAATCATTATGAAGACATATATAGATGGGGAATGATATTAAAATGGATCTTAGAGAGAATGGGGTGCTATAGACTGGATTGATCTGGCTCTGGATAGTGAACAGTGGAAGGCTCTTGTGAAATCAGTTATGAACTTTCGGGTTCCATAAAACGTTGGTAAATTCTTGAGTAGCTGAGCAGTTGCTGGCTTCTCAAGAAGGACTCAGCTCAATGAAGTTAGTTATTAGTCCTCTAAACGTTTACGAACCTGAGCTCGTTATAGGAACGGGAGGCGATGGAGAAATCTCTGCTTCCGTTTCTGAAACCCACCAGGGAATAGGCCGTTTATTTGTCAGCTCGATGCCCTCCGCTTGGATATCGTCATGGTATATCTAAAAGAGAAGGCACATCAGACGGTATCAGTGATCTCTTAGTGGGTACGGCGACCAGTGTACATCATACCTAGCATACTGTGACATTCGCTTGAAAGCTGGAATAGTGGAGCCGGAGCTGAAGTTCATTGCTAACCACCGTCTCGCCAAACACACGTTCCCGCTACAATGAATAGACGCGGAATAATCCACTGCTTGGCAACGGTTCGGTAAGAAAATTTCGTGGCCAAGATTAAAGGGAGTAATACACGGATTGTTAGAGATGGTAATCTATATTCGGTTCGCCTGGAAGTTAGTTCAGGAGAGACTGTTCAATTAGTTTAATGATTCATTCGTAAGAGAATTCAGAAATTGAGTGTTCAGCTGTGAAGTGTTAACCTGCGGACAACGGACGCTGAAGAAGTGACCGATTCGTAAATCAGAACCAAGTCAGTCACGCAGAAGAGAAGACACTCGTAGTCCAGTGGAGCGAGTCTTAGGCAGTCATTGATTGTAATTGTAAAGAAGTGTCAATAAATCCAATCATCCAATCCAGAGCCCATTGTTATTAGTCACGGAACCTCGGACACGTGACAATATTAGCATCTGAATAATAAGTTAATATAATTTAAAATGTAGTATACAATTTAGGCAAAAATAGCAGTCTTCAATCGGGGGGGGGGTGGTAAACGGCCAAGGCGGGAAGCTGACCACTCACCTCCAGCTAGGGCCGATGTCAGGAAAATGTAGATCTATACGTCCACTCCCCAATACGCCTTCATGGCGTAGTGCTTAATTAGTTACGCACAGGAACAGCTTCAGCTTTATAGACTAATATATGTGTAATTTTGAAAGACTTTTCATCTTCATGGTACCTTAGAATTGTAGGCAGTGTGTTCCTCCGAAACGTACGTACTTATCTAGCAATATACACGGCGTCATATCTCAGAAGACAGTGATCTTGAATAAGGGGAACTTTAGATCCTATGAGCTTGTATATGTGTATGTATGCATGTAAATAATTTCATATGTGCAGGGAAATATTTAACATTAGCGGAAAGTAACTGCTTTAGTATAACTTATTATTATTATTTTGAGTTATTAATCAAACAAAAATTGTGCATATAACCTTCATTATATTTCTTGAAAATCCCCATTTTCTTTCCCACTGTTTTCTTGTCAGCTTTTCTAAACGAATAACTTCTTTCCTGAAAACAACGAATTAGAATTATATTTCAGACCTTACATTGAGAAATATGTGTTACTTTTAGACGGATTATTAATGAGTCTTATAAATATTGTATTTTAGACTATCTTGATAATCTCTAATTGAGTACAGTTACCGATCTCACGACAGTTGCGATAGCTACAATTGCTTGGATATTTCATCGACCGTACCAGCTTACATCTTAGGCAGAAACTTACAAGAACAAAATGTACTTACAATCTCCCATCAGACTTGACAACATTGTACTTGAATTGCTGCCTGCGGTGTGTTTCATTTTCTGCCTTTGCCGACATTTCAACCTGTATCCAAGCAACAGAAATCCATAAAAATAGTACATAAAAAGGTAAGGTAAAGCTATCCCTGTAGCAAGCCGAGCAGGCCCATAGGGTTGTGAGACGTCGAGGCTCTCACATTTTGTCTAGACAATTGGATGGCGAGATTGTCAGCCTTGCGAGCCGGCCGCCTTTTACCCCCAGGAAGATTCCTGATACTCATATCTGTTAGAGGCTGAGTCGACCCCAGGGCTTTTTGTGGTTGGAAGTAATAGGCCGATTGAAAAATTGACCTCATCGGGAATAGAATCCGTGACCTTCCGGTTTGTATTCATAGTGCCTCAACCAATTAAGCTACCGCGTGTCCCAAAATAGTACATGATAACTATGTTCTTAGTCTCTCATAGCCTATCTTGTCGGTGTAGAAGATTTTATTTAATTTAACACTCTTTTAGACCAGAACTGGAACCAATTTTGAAATATGATAACCAAGAAAACATTTCGGTTCTAAGGAAAAGGTGGGGCCTTGTTTGGTTTTTATCCCTGTTCAGCACGAAAGAATAATTTCTTCGTCCTGCCTTAGCTCTCGCTGTAAACACATACGAAATCTGTGCAATCGAGCTCGGAAACGATTCGACAAACCGGACGACGAGAAGTAGGACACGTTTTTGACAGTGGCAACCTGGCAGCCCACAAACCTAATTCACTGAACACGCCTGCCGGCCGAACTTTCTATTCAGTAACATGCCGTATCTTACTCTCTTCCAACGAAGAGATGGTGAGGCATGCGGTGAGTAGAAATGATCTTTCTGCATTTAATTCAGTGGCAAAGACTTTCACAGCATAGGCCTACGTAGTTGTGACGGTAAGAACTATCCGAATGTGGTGTTGATATTTCTAAGACAATATGGCTACCTCGGTAACTGCCGTGCCATCTCCTTCCCGGAGGATAATACTGAGACTGTCATAACTCTAAAAGACAACGCCCGAAATTTGTCACCAGCTAAATTTCTCATCCAACACTGGCCTCTAGAATATCCCCTTTTCAATCCCCTTTCTAGAGTCTTGGCCGCCTTGGACTACTATAAGGGTGGTGAAATATTTTTGCGTGGTGGTCCGAATTTGAAATACCTATCATTCTTGCAGGACCTCAATAGGCTCATTTTCAACGTGAAAATATGTGTGTTTACGTTACGTTATAAAGCAATAGAATTGGTGTGCCCTTATATACATGAAGTTAATGCAGCAGACAGTCAGAATTTCCTGCTTGCCACCCCCCATTATTGCTTCATTGTATTAAACAAATGAATTAAGCAAAGGGGCAATTTTTCTTATTTGTCCTTATTCCAAATTCACGTTTGCGGAATATTACATTCCGCAAGAAACATTAAAATGTCTGATTGAAATAGGCCCCTGTGAGAAAATCTGAATAGCTAAATCTCGTTAACTTAAACCTAGATAAGAAACTCTCATGAACTACATAATGCGGTTTCTCTAATACTTCACAAAGTAACCTGAACTTTTCTATTAAAAACTATTTTGGGGATCCCCTTAGCAAATTCACAATCAAATCTTAACATCTTGTTTTGAGAAATTCAAAACACGATTTTCAACAATCTCTTCCGAAATAACGATATTTTTTAATGAAAATGGCTATAGTTGACGACAGAGAGACTGTTTCTGGTATATTCACGTGCAGGAAGATTTCACACTACCTGCAGTCAATGCAGGCATCTCACTATTGGCACACTCTGTTTCCGGATTCTCATACGGCAACATTAGGATTTGAGTATATCTAAGAGACGTGCGCACAAGAAACCACTACATATTGTGGAAATAAAACATAAAACATATATTTGAGGGCAGAGACTCTGGATTAGTTCTGTAACGGATTTGCAGGACTATGTTTTTTCCTATAAACAGGTTAGAATTTAATACACAAATATATTATGTAATATATTTCTGCTCGTTTTATTTTGCTTCCTTGGAGCATCCTGTTGTGGTACGGTTTCTGTTTGACAGCAAAGGTCACCTCCTCCAAACACAGTAACACACAAATAACACCATTCCAAAATAATAAACGTTACATTTCCATTTTTTATATTATTTATAATAATATATAATTTATATATTTGGCAGGAAAACGTGAAGGAAAGAGGTAATTTGGAAGACCTTGGCGTAGATGATATGAATGTGAATCTTAAAGAAATAAAGTAGGAGAATGTGGACTGAATTCATCTTGTTCAGAATACGGGCCCATAACAGATTCTTTTGAAAACTATAATGGATCTCGTGTTCCATAAAACCATCGACTAAATGATAAATTATTAATTTCTCTAGAAAGATTCTATTCAGTGAGATTAGTTACAGTCATACATGAACTGGATAAGTCGACTGCCTGAATACCAATTCAACATTAATTTCGCAATTATCTTCCGTGTAGCCACTAGATGAAATTAAAACCTGTAGTTCATATTCGAATTTTATATAATTATAAACAATATAAATTCAGGTCATGTTATAATTCATATTTAGGAAAGATATTACTTTCGTTCTGTGTGCGACGGAAGTATGTCATAACTGTTCAGTATAATATTACTTGTAACCATTTCGTACGTGGAATTTCTTCTGCTTCTCCTTACTATTTATACCACACTGCCTTTCACCGGGTGTCTATAGCTTATGGACAGTGAAAGTATAGGAATGCACAATTTTTATTCGTGAAATGAACTGACAGCCGACAATAATGCGTATGATATTGCTTCTTCTCGGAGAAGCGCATCATTAACAATTATGTAGGCAAAACCGCAGAAAAATCACATTTGGAAAATACGTAGGCTATACTTCGACGCCTTCTCAACTCTCCTTGGGCGGGAGAAGGGGATAAGTATTTCACGTGGTTTCCATGGATGAATGAACAGATTGTAGGCCATAATCTTGGAGGATGGGAACTGTAAAATACCTTGACATCCGTAGCCAAATGTCCAGCCCACTGTTTCTTACAAACGGTACGTTGTAGGCAAGCGACATCCACCAGCAAGAGTGTACGGTGACACGATTCAGAAGAATACAATCTGGGTATGTTCTTAGTATCGTCACCTTAATTACGATCACCCTGTGTCAGGTGATGCGGTGCTTTATAACGGTTATTTTCGGGCACTCTCGGTTTTCCTGTAGAATCTTTCTTGTGGTCTAATTTCCTTTCCTGGCCCACATTCTGCACACATTCCCGACAGAATGTTAGTTCGTTGGCATTAGGTACATTCAGAGAAGAACAGCTCAACATCTGTGAATTCGAATACGTTTCAACAATTTTACACGCGTTTGCCTCCATGAGAAACGCCGATTAAAAAGCTCGGTCCGCTTTTCATCTCTGTGGGTAAAAGAATTTGAGAATGGATAAACAATAAAGAAATAAAATATTGGAAATTTTTATGAAAGTTATCGTGACGATCTAATCACCACTCTTCTTGAAGGTTCGTGCGTCTCGAATATTTGCGGAAGAGAAATTTGTTTTGAACAAAAATATGTCGAGGAAATTTTTCTGGTAAGAAGTAATAGCCTACTTTCCTTTTATACGACACGGACCTCCAACAATTCTTCGTTGCCGTGGGATCATGTTTATCTAGCCGTTGCCTAGCAACAGCACGGGATACCACAGTCCAGTCCAGTAATTTGATAGTCCCCGCCGTCGGAATAGCGATCTTGTTTCCGAGTACCACGGGACACTTGACCACATTTTACTGGCTGACTGCTTTAGGAAGAATCAGACCGCGGATTTTGCGGCACCTACGAGTATATGACAATTCTGGATACACAGACAGAACCACAGACTCTCCGTTGATACGACAGGAATCGTACAGAAACAAAGCCGCCAACAGTTCTTCTACTGTTGCGTGTATTCATTGCAGCGGAAATGTGTTTGCCGAGCCGTTGCCTAGTAACGCTAAGGGGGATACACGTATAGACACATAGACCGATTGGAGGGATTTAAAAGTACACTGTCCAGATGGGTTCATAAAGGCAGGTTCAGCCACTCTAAAGTTGTTAAGGGTGGATATGCAGACACACAAATAGCAAAGTGAATGCATAAGCGTACGTTTATGTTTTCAAAATAAGTAAAGTAGGCTAAAAATAAAGTAGGCTTATGCGATCACCATGCTGAACCAATCTTGATGAAACTTGGTATATATATCATGGCACCTGACTCCATCACAATGGCGTACTTCATAAATCACTCCAATCAGTCTGTGTATCTGTATGTATACCCCCTTTTCGTTGCTAGACAAAGGCTTGGTAGAAACGTTACTGTGGCAACGAATACACACCCAACAACAGAGGAATTATTGAACGCGACATTTTCTATGCGGTCCCTATCGAATCAAATGAATGCAGGCGGTTAATTCTTCCCAGAACTTTTTATTTCGAAATGAAAAATGAAATATATTTTTTATATAATATACACTTCCGTAGGATTCGGATTAGCTCAGATAGCGACGGTCCAAATTTTGGAAGACCGAGGTTCGATTGCCGGCAGTGTCAGGAGATTTTGTTGTATTCCACAGCATCAAGACCAGATCTGAGATCCACTCAGCCTCCTATTCAGAAGGTATCGGGGGTCCTTCCCTCCGGATGTTGGGTGTAAAGCGGCAGGGGTATGAAGCAAACCACTCACCTCCATCTAGTGCCGAAATCAAGAAAGGCTGAGCTATATCTCTACGCCCCAATACGTGTTCATGGCGTAATGATTAATTAATTAAGCATAGGGACAACTTTACCTTTTAGAGCCAAGAAGAGTGGTAAATCTCTAATACAGTAAGACTTACTATCACAGTATTCACCTGAAGAGACTGAAACACCCACGAAATATTCACTAAGATTTGTAAACCGACCGACATTCGAAGGCCATTCCTTCCGAATAGAAGTCTAGTAGCTTCAATATGCCTTTTAGTTTGGACATCATTAATTGATCTGATTGATTATTCTTCTTGTTTTGAAACTCAGTAAAACAATAGTCATGCGTTCTTATTACTGGAAAGAACTCACTGTAATGATAGGTTCCAATGGACGTCCTTAGAAACCAACTCTGCTCTGTAACATGCTGATATATATAGCACGTACTTACTGTACAAGAAGTTTTAGAAACACAGTTAAATTATAACAGCCAGTTGCATAAAACGAACCTTTACAGCGGTGTCAGAGGTTCTGAAATCACTGTAAACAACTGTGGGTACCAAGGAAACACGCAGTAAATCTGCCTCTAGGGGGATTCAGGTTTTCCAATACTCATCAACCCTCGACTCACATTAAGCGCACACGCATGTGTGATCTGAAGTTTCATTGAGGTGACTGGAAATTATTGCCTTGTGAGATACCATGCCTTATTTTTTTTCCTTGGCACTACAGCCCCAGTGGGCCTAGGCCTACCTCCATGAACTCCGTTCACTTCGGTTTTTCTATATCTTACACATTCGGTAGGACTCCTTGGGCGAGTGATCAGCTCGTCGCAAGGCCTCTACCTGTAGACAAACACAGAAAAACGCACACAAACATCTATGCCCTGAGTGGGATTCGAACCCAAAATCTCGGCTTCCGAGCGAGCGAAGACAGTGCATGCCTTAGACCGCTCGGCTACCGTGACCGGCACCACGCCTTATAGGTTTCAGTAATTTCCGGTTGTAACGGCAGTTCCCAGGGAACCTGACGTTTCGAAGAAATAAATCATCTCTGTTTTCAGGGACGAAGAACAAGCCAAGTAAAAAGCCAAGATGGGGAGTAGGAGGTCGCAAGTTTAGCTCATATGATAGATAATTTAAAACAGGAGTAAGTAGCGAAACATGGTTACATGTATAAACGTGATAAGCGATACTTTTGAGTGGCACATGTATGGATATTATGTGAAGCAGTAAAAATTAAAAAATTCGCTTAGTGGGGGGTGGAGTTCAATTGGGTCCACTCGGCACGGCGGCCACTGATTGGCCTATTGTACCTGCACCGAGTGATTATGATGATGGAGAATTTGGTGGAATGAAGATTTGCAGGGAAACCGAAGTACTCAGAGAAAACCCGCCCCAGCGCCACTTCTCCACCACAAATCCCACTTGACCAGACCCGGAATCGAACCCGGGCCGCCGCGGTGGGAAGTCAGAGACTAACCGCTTGAGCTATGTGGTAAGTGGTTCTTCTAATGTAAGAAGACACAGATGGGGTTCTTGAAGATGCTTTCGCATCTCTGTAGAGCATCTATCTGAACGGCTATGTCTGTCCTTCTGAAAGAACGTGACTCGAAAACCGCTGAATGGATTTGCCAAAATTAGATATTGGGGGGTGTCACTAACATTTTCCACCCATTCCAATTTTGGTTAAAATCGGACAAGAACAATAGACATTTCACACTAAGAATTTTATACATTTCTGCAAGCAAAATGTCTCAATTAAATGCTGTAATGAAAAAGAAAAATATTTTATGCTGCGTACATTATTTTTCCTTCCGTAATTCTTACGAGTTTAGAGAAAATAAAACCGAAATGGAGCGAACGCATATGTACACATTTCTAATCGTGTTGGCATTATCTTGGATTTATAGGTTGTTACTGGGTTCCGGAGTGTGTGATTGACTATTATTCTTTCTAGATGCCAGTATCAACAACATAGATTATTTACTAAACAAATAATTTGGATTATTGAAAGAAGAATTCATTTGAAATATCAACGAATTCAGCGTGCAGTTCTCACAGCGATCTAGAAGTGAATTATTTACCACCGTACGAAGCAAGTCTTTCGTAGTAGTGCTTAGTAAATGCAGGTCAGGTCATTATGATGTATATTTAGCAACATAACTGGACAAGTCAGAGCGCTGAATTGTTACTCTTTCTTTGGGATGGTTTCAGTGTCTCTATATAAGTGATACAGCAAAGGAGATGCCTAGCTTTGTATTCTGCGAGTTGAGATCAAGCTGTCATGGTGATCGTAACTGTAAAAATATCTTAGTCTCTGGTAGCTTTGATGATCTTCGAGTTGTGTGCAGTTGGTGATGCCGAAACGGCTAGGACAAATGTTCCATCTCGGGTGCCCTCTCGGCCTCTGTTCCCTTGCTCAAATTGTAAGTATATTTTCCTGAAAAGATATGAGTTGTATATGACGATTGTTGGCTTTTGAGAGATAAGCCTCTGTTAAGAACAGTAAAATAATAACTGATTAATGTTAAGAAAAAGAAACGGAGTCGACAAGCAGAAGCTTAAAAATAAGTTATATCAATCATCGGGGAGAAGAATTATTGCTTTTCTGTTTTAGCAGAAATGAAGTTTCTTGTACCATGGTAGCCTGGGTTCGATCCCATGTCAGGTTATGTACTACATGTGGTTGACAAAGTGGCAATGGGGGCAGGGTTTCCCAAAGTACTTCGGTTTCCCTTGCCAGTTTTCCATACACCAATTGCTCCACATTCATTAGCTATTCTGTCATAGATGCTGCATAGTCTCAATACCGACAGCATCATTCAATAACTAAGAAAGAAACAGAAATGAGCATTTAGTTAAAAAATTTCATAGGATTTTATCAACACGCGGTTGCTCTATGTCTGTATTTCTTATCTTCCACTTCCTTACCATTTCATTATTCGTTTATCATCCTGTCTACAACCCTACATAGTATGAGCTTTTGATATAGAACTGTTAGATAGACTATAATAAAATGCGAGAACATAAACTTCCCCATCCACAGTGCATATACAAATTAGTATGATGGTTGTCTGTACAGTGGCAAGTTGAAATTGGGGAGAAAGTTGTTCCTGTAAATACTCGTAAACAGTAAGTATGATATCTGGCAGGAGTAAGAGATATTCGCTTCTCCACAGTTTCAGACCATTGCTTAGGTCTACTGAATTTCCTAACCAGTGGATACTACTGTTGTTTTCTTGGCTGGGTGGGTGGGGTGAAATAGCCAGTTCATGAAGGTGACATTCACCTCCATCTAGTAAGTTACAAATATGTGGATCTATATCTCAACTCCCCATACATCTTCTTGGCATGTTATATAAAATTAAACACTGTGATAAATTCATCATTCACATTTAATTTTTTAGAAATTATTCTTGAATAACTGTCTTGACACTGGAAGAGAATGTTGAAAGGAAGCTTGTGAAGCCTGGGCAAGTTTGAAAAAGTATCGTTCATCTTTATAAACTTAATAGGAAGCAGTTCCTATCTTTAAAATACTGTAGAATTTACATTTCATACTTCTATTAAAATAAGTTCTTTTAAAGTATGATCTGCATGATGATTTGGTTGGGAGCCCATGCCATAAGGCAAAATAGAACAGAGTATACTTTAGGTAAAAAACGATAGTCAACACTAAACTGGAAGGCAGACATGGAGTTCGAAGACCCAGGTTGAGGTAGTTAGATGATGTAGAGGCCGACATAAGAACTCTAGTTATAAAAGATGGAGACTTAAAGTTCAAGACAGAAAAGAATGGGTAATTCTAAGGGGGGATAAGGCTAAACTAAAATGGCTGTGAAGCCACAGGAGAAAATGATACTTTAGGTATTTTTTTCATTCTGGTCTCTCACACTAACAATGTTATAAAAGATAAAACAATTCCATTCAGTGTGACTGGTGAAGTTTTTCTTATTTTGACTCTTCATGCCGTTACATGTTTCGGTCCTTAAAGACCATCATCAGAGGGACATCAATACAGTTTGGAAACCACTATTACAATAGGTTAAATGATACAAATTCCGTCCCAAGTGCAAACAATATATATTATATGTCTTTGATCTTGTTCTTTCTACACTACATGTTTCGGCCTCTATCGGCCATCAGCGCACGTAGTACAGACAAGCAGCGGCACCCACACAAGAAGACTACATTAAATAACACCTGTACAGTGTGAAAACAAGAACTAGCCGCTCAAGCACTTAGACATAGGGCGTGTAACCCTAAGAATTTTAAATTTTAAATTTAAAATTTAGAGAAAATTTTAAAAAGTTTTTAAAAACATCATAACTAAAGATTTTTAAAGTGCTACTACAAGAACATCAAAATTGGACGTGTGCAACATAATCTACATACCAGACACATATCAACGATGTAGATGTTGATAATACGAAGAATGTGACATTGTGTTTCTAAATGTTAAATTTTAGACCGGGTTCAGTGTGGCAGCAACGTTAAGAGTATACACCTGATGATGGCCGATAGAGGCCGAAACATGTAGTGTAGAAAGAACAAGATCAAAGACATATAATATATATTGTTTGCACTTGGGACGGAATTTGTATCATTTATCGTATAGAGTGCAACAGGATGCTTAAATATAATATTATTACAATAGGTGTTTTGAATGTTAAAATATATATAAAGTACACGCCAACACTAATGTCACAGACACAAGAAGTATAAATACGCAGTGCAACACACCCTAGAAAAGTAAAAACAACACAGCGCGCCAAGAAGAACCACAGGATGATATCAAAGGTAGGATGAAGCAACAAAACTCATTTAAAAAAATAACATAATAGGTTTGCTGAAATAATACAATACCCATGATATATTTGCAGAACCTTCTTCACAAGAAAGACAGGCAGCACAAGTTCAGCCCCCATCAAGAGAGGTGATAAGAGAGAGGACACAAACCTATTTGGTTTATAAATTCTAACGTAACTAACAATAGTTTAAAAAATTGTAATATATCTAGACAGCCACTGTAGTTGTGAAAACTTTGGATTTTGTATCCATTTGTGTATTGTCAGCATTGTATGTATATATATTTTAACACTCAGAACACCTATTGTAATAGGGGTTTCCAAACTGTATCGCTGTCCCTCTGATGATAGTCTTTAAGGACCGAAACATGTAAGGGCGTGAAGAATTGAAATAAGAAAAACTTCACCAGTCACACTGGATGGAATTGTTTTATCTTTTTATAATACTTGAGGTAATTCACTTCTTGGGAAAGCAAATAGGAGAGGTGAGACATTCTGTACACTGAATATGTAATGATAGCAATTTGTCTGAATAGGTCCACGGCCTGGTCTCTGTCCTCAAATACGACACCTTGCAGTTATCAGAGAAGCTGTGGATGATGACAAAGACACTATTGACCCACCTTCGTTATGTGGCAACTTGTGCACTAAAGATGATGTCTGCCCTGTTGGCAAGAAATGCTGCCCAACAGCCTGTGGTTATGCCTGCTCTGATCCAGTCATTCTTGTAGACACTGTGTGAATTCATGTACAGTATTGTTCTCATAGTCAAGAAAATATTTGGCTTTCCCGCTTACTCCATTATTGAATCTGCACCCCTTGAAGTAAGCAGTAGCTCTTCCAAGGAAGGGCATTATTGCATCCTTGGTCTTAAACTGGGGGCTTAGTCTCTGACCTGATAATTAGGTGGCTACATTGTAAGGATTGTTTTAATTCTGAGAATTATATAAAAGATATAAATGTACTCTGTGGGCAGAATGAAGTTTTGAATGTTGCAGATACTATGCTCTGCTTCAAAGGGCTGATATGTACGTACAAACTTTGTCCCATGAGGTGTTTTTAAGGGAGACTGGACTTCAACACTATCAGAAATGTCTGCAATGATGAGATGACTTTTGTAAAGATTTTTTTATATGTTATAGAAACATTATTATATAATTAGTGAATTATAATACAAAAATTTGATTTCTGTTCAATTATTTTATCCTGTCCTTCCATGTGAAATACTTATATATAAATGTATATGTATATAAATGTTTTATGTTGAAGCTTGGGCTTCAAACAGCTGTACAGTAAAGTGAAATGCTGTTTGATTAACTGTCACACAATCTTTCCTCACTCTTTCTCTTGATCAAATTGAAATACCCCTACATATTCTTCCTCTTTAGAAGAAACATCAACACCATATTTAAACTTTTTCTTTCATATAATTTTAAATGTGTCCGTTGAATCCATATATCTTCATTTATACCACTGAACAGATACAATATGTTATATAAAAAAGTAAAGTTGCCCCTGTGCTTAGCTAATTAAGCACTACGCCATGAAGGTATATGGGGGAGTGGATGTATAGGTCCATATTTTCTTGACCTCGGCACTAGTTGGAGGTGAGTGGTCAGCTTCACGTCCTTGCTGCTTTACCCTTGGGGAAAGTGCCCCGGTACCCATTGGATAGGAGGCTGAGTGGACCCCAGAGACCTTCTGGACTACATGGAGAAGAGAAAATCCTTGACCCTACCGGGACTTGAACTCTGACTCCTCGGTCTTCCATTCTGTTGCCAATTGTTATACCGAATGCAATATCCTGGCTCCTCAATATGTTTTATATATACATGTCAAATCTTTGTTACTGAAACTAATTTGTTTCAGTTATATTTTAGAGAAAAAACTGCATGATACACATTTTTTCATGCAGTACCAAGTTCATCATATCACTGTTCTTCTGTTGAAAACTTAAATTCTATGGAACAGCATTAGGATACTATAAAACTTGGCTGGGTATCCTGGATCTGTAGGAACCTTTTGCTTCTTTTCTGTCTGAAAGCCAGTCTTTATACCATACTGATTTGGAGAATAATTTGTTTGTAAAGTAAGGTGTTCAGGCTTAACACAGTAATGGTATCCTGAATTGCTTGAAGCACAGCATATGTTGCAGGCTTATTAATGGACATCTGATTTAGCAGGTTACACAGGTGGTGAGGATCATGTTATCTGATCAGTGGATTTTTCCTTTATGTTTAAGCTAACAGATTTCAGAAGCACTTCCTCTTTTCATGCAGGAATTTACCATGCAGTACCTCATTGGGACGATGCAAAATCAGTCCCCTCCAATCCTCAACAGTAAAATCTGTTAGATCCACTCAGTGGCTTATTTCTTCACTAATGCACCAATGAGTTATCTGTTACAACATACATCCTATTTCCTGATTGCTTCCAAATGTGCACAGAAAGGCAAATAGTTGAACACTTAATTCAAGCTATCAGGTTTCTACTTGTGTAATACAAACTTTATAGAAGGTAAGACTTGGTTGTAACAAAAATATACAAAAGCAGAATACAGTCAGCTGAAATAAATTTTTTAAGAAATGTTGAAGGAAGTATCCATTCAGTTAAATGAAGAATGTCAATGTTAGAGAAAATCTACATATATTTATAACAGGAGACAGGAATAAATGTACACAGAATTTAATGGAATATCTAGACAGGATGCCAAAAACTTATGAGAATAATGTTGAATAACCATTCACAAGGAAAAAGAGATATTGAATTTCTTTGTGTATGTTAAATATAGGCTTGTGACACATTCTGGATAAGAATCTATGCAAAGCCTAATTAAAGATGAGGTATTTTATGTGATTTATATTAGTAGACTTAGTATAGCGAGGTCAAGACCCAGTCTGCTGGATAAGCTGTCACAGGTCATGTTGTCTTGTAATTCTGCCATTCTCTTCTCTGTTCACTCAGTATCAACAACAGCATAGCTAATACCATATCTATGACAAAATGCTCATATTTATACAGAGGAAAGCACAAAAACAAGATAAAAAGTGATCTGAAATTCTCATTATACATCTCTTGATTCTACAGAGACAGAGGCTATATTTTAACTTGGGGGGGGGATCCCAGACAATAAACTATTATCCCTGACTTACAATGTGGGCACCAACCCTGTAGCACAAAGTGTGAAGACAGAGGTAATTTTCAAATAATTCAGTACCCCAGAGTAATATGAAAGGAGACTTCACTATAAAGTTTCCTTTTTGAATATAGGAGACTCTTGATTAAATGGTGGCAGGTTATTAGAAAACTGACTGGGGTGTCCAGTGTCGAAATATAAACTTCATGTGGTAGTGCTGTTTAAAAACGTAGGATGCTAAACGAAGGTAGTTTTATTTCACATTTGAATATGCACGTAGAAACTCGAGAAGGCTTTCTTTGTATAGCACAGGAGCTACTGAGAAATTATTCTCGTGTTCCTGTCAAAATACTTTGAATAAAATACACTTACAAATGTGTCATCTTATATATCCTTGATTTTATACATCAAAGGAAAGCATGTGATTTGTTATATCTATATATGTCATACTATAGATTTCAATTGGGATTATTGGATTTTTGGACTTGTCTATCATCCAATATTCCACAGAGCACAGCATTTTGGAAACTGAAGCTGTTTTCATCCTTGGGTGAGGGGGTGGGGATACCTAATCTGTTGAGTCCATTATAACGAGTTAACTGCAATCACTGGACCTATATATGAACGGCAAAATACCACGGGAAACAAAAGTAAAGAGGCATTTAGATTGGCACTTGGCTATGAAAATATAATCCGTTTTACACACAAGCACAAACACATGATTGTACATGCACACAAAATCACAACCATAACCAGCTTATGACAAAAACTTTTCAAAGTTTGGAGCCATATCTCTAAACTCTTGTGTTTCACAACATGCTTATTTTCATACTGAATTCATAGAATTATTAAAATTAGTGTAGGCTCATCATAATGATGAATACAAACAAAGGAAATGAGAAATTATTTTGCTCACTCATTCTTTCTTTCTACTAAAGAGTTGTGTTTCATGCAGTTAGCCCTATAGGGCATTGTAATAATTCAGTTCTAGAGGGAGAAATTCCTTTCCCAAATCTGTGTCTAACTGAAGGTGTAAAATTCCCTGTTGAATTAAATTTCTATAGAGAATCCAAGATCCCTATAGCTGTCTCATAAAAATATGAGTACTGTTGAAATTTTGAACACTCTCATCAGTTGAGGATATCATTCCAGCTGAATCACTTCAATAATAACAGTAATTTTTATCGGGTACATCTTTTATTCAGTACAAATAAGAAATTAACAAAATTATCATCAAATAGAACAATGACAGGAGAACTATTTTTGTCTTTACTAGGTTATGTTCTTTCAATTTGGTATTTGCCTGAAGTTTATTTTTAATTGTTTAAATTTATTTAACATAAAAATGTAGCAATCATTCATACACGTGATGCAGTCAAATACCAGAAGGATGTGTCCATTCAGAAAGCCATGTCTTGGATCATTTGTTCAGCCACTTTCAGGAACAGGAAGTTGTTGAGCTTCTTCACTCAGAGTTGTGACCAAGTGAAGTGTGTGTGTATGTGTGTAATTGAGCTGCTGTGAAAGCTGCTGGTTCTGGATAAATAACATTTGCACAGCCCAGCCCTTAGTACAGACAAAACATGATACCATCATCAAGGGACTCCAGTTACCAGTAAGGTAGGTAAATATAAATCTTTAATTGCAAGATACTACTTCCTGTTGAAAGTAATTTATAGAGTTGGAAGATTTTTATTACTAGCTGGAAAAGTGATACCTCCACAATAGAACACCCACTTTGAATTATTCTTGGGGATGATAATATTTTAAACAATTTTATGCCAACCTTTCATTCCCACATCAGAAGGCGTCTAATGCTGTGGTTATCCCATATTGGACATCAAGTTTTATATTCTTTGAGATTACTTTGAACAGTTCATATACAGAAACCAGAAGTTTTAAAATTTTTCCATATCAAAGGGCCTTTTTTAATATTTTTACTTAAATTAATTTGTAACTGGTAAGAGTGAGGCTGAAAATAATAAGAATTGGAAGGGGTTAACCTTAATCTTTCAGAAATTTAACACAAGAATATTTAATCTGGCTCTATAGAAATTGAATCCTGAATAGAAAAGAATCTTGTAGTAAGAAAAATTACAGAATTCCACACAAAGATAAAATAATAAAAACTCTGATTTATATTAATGAAAAGTGTTATGAAGAGGTTTGTACAAAACTTACAAATAGATCTGCTTCACACGATTATTCAATGCCTACGTTATACAAGGCTACTATAAATTTTTCATTCGTTTTTAAAACGCTCTATTTTCCAAAATATTACACATACAGATATGATTGATATATAAAAGGAACCGTAAACTCACAAAGTTTGTATTATTTGCACCAGTTGGCAGCACGAATTCAGTGCCTTTACAAAATGGCGACAAAGCAAGAAAAGAGTTTTTGTTTGTTGGAATATGCGAGATGTTCGTCTGTTATAGCAGTGCAACGGGCAATCAAAAGACAGTACGGAAAAGAACCGCCATGTAAACAAAGCATTTTGCGGTGGTATCGGAAATGTTCGTCGCTACCTAAACAATGAATTTCGGCATCGCTGGATTTGGCGTGTTGGTGAGCTCTGTTCACTTGGCCCCCCAGATCACCTGATCTAATGCCTTGTGACTTCTTCCTTTGGGGGTACATTAAGGATCGTGTTTACGTACCCCCACTGCTAAGAACACTAGTAGAGCTGAGGGAATGCATCGATGCTGCAGTGATTACCATTGACAGGATGATACTGCAAAATGTGTGGAACGAGCTCGACTACTGCCTGGACGTGTGTCGTGTGACCCAAGGGGAACATATAGAACATTTATAGAGTGTGAAGAAAGCTTGGTGAGTTTACGGTTCTTTTTTTTTTATCAATCATGTTTGTAAGTATAATGCTTTGGAAAATATAGCGTTTTAAAAACGAATGAATCATTTATAGTAGCCTAGTACTTTACCATGCAGACCTTTTTAATATTTTAGAATTATGTCATCCTTAAATTAATCTGAAGAGAGGTAATTAATGATTGCCTGAATGCTGTCTGTAGCCCAGAAAAATATGAAGGTTTTGCTAAATTTTTTTTTATATGTTTCCACATTGAAATGAATTAAGAGTGTCGTGATAGAAGTGCATGCAATATCTGTCAATAAACGTTTTGTGTGCTAGCAGCAAATTAATTGTGACTAATTTGTAAATACTTTCTTGACATTTGCTAGGAAGAAAAGCCACTAATTAGGATAGTTGCTATAACTATAGAAACTCAAATCAAGTACTTCATGACTACAGATCAGTTGCCTTAGTACTGAGACAATCCTCTGGAAAATACAGGTTATAATATTCAGAGATATTGGGCTTTCGGACTTTATCCATCGTCCTGGTTTTAAGATAACTAATAAAAACACGACGTTTCGGAAACTGGATCTGTTTCTGTCCTCAGGATGATGGAAAAAGTCCGAAAACCCAATATCTCTGTGTGTTATACACCATCGTCAGAATCCTATAGTAACTAGGTTATAATATTGTTCACCTGATGGTGTGCTAAAGAGAGGATCATATGTCTTGAGTCAAATTTTCTGGCTTGACTGGGTGACAGTTGATGACTGGAAAGCAGGAATTTCATGACAGAAAAGGCCCAAGTGCTTTGCTTCTATCAGCAACTGAATCCATACTCTTTTCCTACTGGAACCTGTGAGTAGAAATAAAGCACTCAGTATCATCAATTTCAACTTAACTTAGAACTTCCAACATAAATTCACACTTATAAACTTGCGAAGTTACTTTCTCTTTAACCAAATGTCTATGTATTCACAGTCCATCAATAATGCAACAATTGTTTATTCGCCATTTAACACTTAACACAACATATGTATTTCGGCCATAGATGGCCGTCTTCAGGCATTTTAAAACATACAACTGTTACACTGTTCTGAAATGCACATTTAACAACAGTGTAACAGTTGGACTATATGTATCACCTGTTTTAACATACAGAAACTCTGCAGTCTGTCCACAGAGTGTATTTGTGCATTTCATGTGGTTCTTAGAATAAATTGCTGTTTCCCTAAACAGCAATGACCAGTTGAACTTATCAGCAGAGATGGAATTATGTTTCCTGCAAGGTAAAAAATTAATTTTTATGCTTTGTTTGTAAGAAAACCAACCTTTAAAAGGTTAATTTGTTTGTATAAGTAAGTAGTTATTTTAAGTACTTTTTCTACTAGACTTAACTCATTATGAACTTAAGAAAAGTAATATGAAGATGCTGGAAAATACTAATGACATACATGATCTGCATGTAATTCTTAGTTTTGTGCATACTAGTACTAATAATCCTCCACATCTTTCTTATATCATAGTAATATCATACTATTTGGCAGTGGGCTGAACTTAGAGGTGATGACATTTCACAGTATAACTGAAGTACTGGTAGCATCAGCTGGAATAGATCGAGGCTCTAAAGTGACATGCTTACAGTTTGATATCTGATAGACTGTTTCTTGCACTCACCCCTTTTCTTCTCCAATCAGTGAGTAATCACAGTTCCTTCTCTGACAGTAAACTTGGCCAAGGCACGAAGCTGACCATTATGTGGAGAGGTCTAGAATGTGTGCATTTACCTTCACTTCTTAAGCATCTTCATGATGCATGGATTCTTACTCAGGCAGAACTTTACATTTACATACAGACAAATGGCGTGTCATAAATGATTAGTCACATATCTTCATATTGTGCCAATATTTGTGATGTCTTGTAACTGCACCACCACCATGCACTAGATTTAGGAATAATTAGAATTATTAATACAGATATTTTAGTTACAGTAACAGATAATAGGCAAAGACAGTGAGACCTAGTCACATTCCTGCTCGCAGGAAACAACTTATTCCCAATCTTGCTTTTTTCTCAGGAAGAATCCCCATTTCCTTTCCTGGAATTTTTGTTTGTAAGGGAAACAACGGTGATTTTTGAGAATACTATATGTGACAGCTTCTGTACCTCGTAAACTTAAACTTAGTGGGCTGAAGACCTACACTAAATGCAGTATCCATCATTGAGCTGTCAAAAGCGCCATCAGAACTTTAAGGACCAAAATTGCATACTCCATTTAACTAATCGGAGATTAAGGAATGGTGGTAAATTCCCAAATTTCAAATATGCCTAACCAGGAGAATTTGGGGGAATGTCATAGTAGAGGAACTGATGCATGGAGGACCTCAGTGTTTTGAGAGAGAGCAGTGTCTGGAATCAGTTGTCTGTTACCTCTTAAAACTATGTGGATGCAAAAGCTGCATCATTGCTGTTCATCTTTACAGAGTCTAAATCAACACAAGATGAGGTTATCTGTGTGAACTTTTATACATAACAGTTCATATAACTATGCTAAATGAAGTGAAGTATTCATAGCAAATGGCATTTCTCGTACATGTGTGTTTAAAAAAGCTTTTACCATCATATCAATATATATTACTAATGTTTAAAGTGTTAAATGTGATAGCACCGATCTCCCCACTTAAGCTGAGGCCCTGCCAAACGCCCTGAGGAAGAAATCTCAGCCATACCACAACCAGGGATAGTTACCAATAGCCATACTTCTCCTTCCTACCACAAAGGTTAAATATTATAAGCAAACCCCATTGGAGCTTACTGTCGCTCAGTCAGAGAAAGAAAGTTACATAGGAGAAGAGAATACGGGTGATAAGAGCCTCCTTTTTTTCCTCTGTGAGCAGATGTTACTCGTAATTTGGAAATCAAACCAAGGTCTTTGCAGTGCTCAACAATCTTCTTGCAGAATTTTTCATCTGATGACGAATCTATCCATTGTTTTAATTTAACTGCAAGCTGATCTGTTGATGGAAAACATATTGTACAATTTTAAATTAATAGCTATCATTTAGAACTGGTAATCACAAAATAAATGCTTTGTTTAAGACACATGAAAAATGTTTGTAGAATATCCCAAGATCAGCCATTTAATTTTAGGCCAGGCTCTTCTATCCCCCAAGATAGGAACTTCAGTTTATCAATGGCAAACGAAATGTTCTTCTCAACATCCTCAGACTATGTTCCTCCCTTACTGTCAGAGACTAAGTTGCACACCCATGCAGGACCACACGTAAAATTATAACTTTTTGTATTCTGATTATTCACAAATAATACTGTCATTCAACATCATGTAATTTATGGACAGCTTTGTTAATGATACCAGAACATTTAACAATGTTGAATGTCTTAGTGGCCTCCATGATTAAAGCAAGAAGGTACTTTTGGGAAAAGCAGATCTGAATGCTATAAACTGAAGAACTTCTTAAAGGGAGGAATTTACAACACAGAGTTTAAAGACTTGCAGTCAATAAAATTAATGTTAAACAAGGGAAAACCTTAAATGAAGGAACATTAAATGGGGGGTTATATTTATTCCATTTATTGTAAATATAAATCTATTGTTAAAGAGCAAATCAAATTATAGTTATCACACCAGTTGCTTGGAAATTATATTATCTTGTGATTTAGTAACCATTTACCTTATCAGTAGATGTTCAGAGAAAAGCTGTGTATCTAAATGCAACCATTAAAAATGGCCATGTACCAGTTTATTTTACTATGAGCCGCTGTTGACGAAGTTTTTAAGTTT